GCCATCATGCCTGGCCAGCATGTTATTATCTTAATGTCTGTTTCTCTGAATCTTGAGTTTATTGACCAGGAATGTGGGCTTTGTCATTAGACAGACCCGGGTTTGAGTTCCAGCTCTGCCTCTTGCTATGCTGGCTTCAGGTAAGTAACCCAGTTCTCCATTGTCCCAAGTGTAAAATAGACATAACAGTAGTTCCATGCAGGATTATTACAAGGATCAGCTGAGAAAATAATATGAAGCACTTAGCATAGTAAGGTCTCCGTGCACTTGGTAACGGTCTTAACATCTCGGTGGCTTTCACCTCAGACCAACTTTATAATTAAGTACAGAAAGCCTTAATGGAATAAACAATCAGATTAATATGTTGGAGTTAAGAAGAAATATTTCAACGAGGCATGGTGGCTCATGCCTATAATCCTAGCACTTTGGGAGACCGAGGTGGGTGGATCACCTGAGGTTAGTAGTTTGAGACCAGCTTGGCCAACATGGCAAAAACTCGTCTCTACTAAAAATACAAACATTAGCTGAGTGTAGTGGTGTGCGCCTGTAATCCTAGCTACTCAGGAGGCTGAGGCAGGAGAGTCTCTTGAACTTGAGAGGGGTTGCAGTGAGCCGAGATCACACCACTGCACTCCAGCCTGGGCAACAGAGTAAGACTCTGTCTCAATTAAAAAAAAAAAAAAGGAGAAATATTTCACATTTTATGTACTTGCAATGTATAAGACAATTTGGCCTATTTGAGTGACAGCTTTTTTGTAACCGATTTTAAAGTGTAATTGAAGGCTGGGCGCGGTGGCTCAAGCCTGTAATCCCAGCACTTTGGGAGGCCGAGGCGGGTGGATCACGAGGTCAAGAGATCGAGACCATCCTGGTCAACATGGTGAAACCCCGTCTCTACTAAAAATACAAAAAATTAGCTGGGCATGGTGGTGCGTGCCTGTAATCCCAGCTACTCAGGAGGCTGAGGCAGGAGAATTGCCTGAACCCGGGAGGCGGAGGTTGCGGTGAGCCGAGATCGCGCCATTGCACTCCAGCCTGGTTAACAAGAGCGAAACTCCGTCCCAAAAAAAAACAAAAAAATAAAAAAAAATAAAGTGTAATTGAGTTAGTTTTAGACTTTGGTTTTTGAGTTGAAACCTTATAAGTTTACACATGGAATCAGGCCATCTAAGAGAATGTTAGCTTCTTTATGTTTGTATGTTTATAAGAATTACTAAATTTTGAAAAAGATTTAAACAATTAAATGAATGAAAAAGAAAATCTAATATAGACATAGTATTTTTTTTTTTTTTTTTTTTAAGAGGGAGTTTCGCTCTTGATACCCAGGCTGGAGTGCAATGGCGCGATCTC